ATTGATGCTATTTTATTATTATTTAATTTAAGATGTTCTAATGGTCTTTCTCCAATATTTTCTAATACTTCAATTTCATTATTACTAAGATCAAGTAATAATAATTCTGGGAAAAAGTCTTCAATAAATAATCCATCATCTATTGACCTAATGCCTGCATTTGAAATTGTTAAATATTGTAATTGTTTCCAAACTACACTTCCTCCACTAACTAAAAATTCTCTAAGATTATCAATTTTTACTTTATCTAATGACAATGTAATTAATACTTCTGGAATATTATATTTATTAATTTCTAATTGATACCTTAATTTTTCAAATTGAAGCTCTTCAATTGCACAGTATTGAAGGAAAAATAATGGTAATATTGGTACTTCTGTTCTTACTATTTCTCGACTCTCTGATTCTTCTTCATTACCTTTTATTAATATTTTTTTAATTTGTTCAAATTCATTTTGTAACATATCCATTGTTCCATATGATGGATTAGTTAATCCATTAAATAATTGAACAGTAGCAGGATTTAATTCTATTCTTCCTTTTTTCTTTCCTTCTTCAATTTGTTCTTTAAATTTGATTAATTCCTTTTCAAAAATCTCGACAAATTGTTGGTTATCAATACCAACACAATCACTCATATCACAATGATAATAAAAAATCTTATAATTACTTTTTTTTCTTTTTTCTTTATCTTAAAATCTCTTTTTAAGTTCATCTAATACAAATTAAAGTTTTATATAACAATAAAATGAATCATTTACATCATATCAATCTCTTGTTCTTTGAATTGTCTAAAATCATTATGAGTTGGTAATGAATGAATTGGAACAGCTCTTTGAACATAAGGGTGTTGGAAAAATTCTTCCCAACTACAACGATCTGCTTCTTTATGAGTGATGAGATGACAAATTAAATCTTTAAGCATTGGGTCAATAATAACATCTGGAGGGAATTGTAATGGTTCTTCTCTTCTCATTTTTTCTAAGAAGACATCTTTATCATCACTAAATGGAAATTGATTTGTAGCTAATACATATAAAATAACACCAACACTATATAAATCTGATTTAACAGTATATCCTTTTTCATTTAATATTTCTGGAGAAGCGTAAATAGGAGTTCCAAGGAAACTTGTAATCAATTGGCTTTCAGTCCCAAAGATTCTTGAAAATCCATAATCAGTAATCTTTAATCGAGGAAGTTTTTGATTAATTTGAGTTGGTGTTTTTAATAAAAAGTTATCAAGTTTAAGGTCTCTATGAAGAAGATGTTTATTAAAATGAAGATACCATAAACCACTACATATTTCTGATAAAAAATGAAGTATTTCAAAATCTTGTAAAGGTCTTTTTTTTGCATGTAAATATGTTTCTAAAGTTCCTCTGTCACAATATTCCATTACAAGATAAGAATATTTTCCTTGTTTTCCACCTTCACAAATAGAATAAGGTAATTCAAAATAATCATAGTAATCTACTAAATTTGGATGTTTACACATTCTCATAACACGTGCTTCTCTTATTATTGAATCCCTTCCAGTATAAGGAATTTCTTTAATTGCAACTGGAGTTTTATCTCCATTAATAATACGTAATGCATATATTACAGTTCCATAACTTCCTTTACCAACAATTTTAATAGGATGATAAATACTTGGATCAGATGGTTTTCCCCATTTAAATTTTCTACATTTCTCAATAAAAGGATGAGAAAAAAATTGGTCTAAAGATATTCGTTTATTTGGGTCATATACTAACATTCGTTTAATAAGGTCTTTAAATAATTCATCATTAGTAGAAGGAAATTCTATTGGTTTCATATGAAGAATATTATACATTATATCTGTTTTTCCAATTTCTAATGGATGATGTCCATGAACTAACATAAAAAAAATTACTCCAATAGACCAAATAACAGAGTTATCAAAAATTTTCTTTTTAAGATATTCTGGTGGATTATAATAACAATTTTTATAAAACAATTCTTCTAAGTCAGTTACTAAAGAAAATAAATTTGTTAATTTAATAAGAGGAATAGGACTTGAAGGATCTCTAGTTAAAAGAAGATGTTCTGGGGTTAAAGAATATTGAAATAATGAATAGTTTTTAGAAAGATATTCAATGGCATAAGAAATATCACACATAAAAAACATTGTTTGTTCATTAACTCCAAAAGAAGTATTAGAACGAATAAAAGATAAAAGGTCCATTTGAGTACATTTTTCCATAACAATCCAAAATTGTAATGATCCATTAAAATAACAAAAAAAACAATTATATATTTTAATAATATTTATATGTTCACATTGTTGTAATAATCTTAATGCTTCACTATATTGTAATACAATATCTTTTTTATTCATATTAATTAAATGTCTTTTAATTACAACTGTTCTTGCTCCTTGAGGTGATTTTTCAATTGCATTTTGTATAACAGAATCTTTATTTGAATGAATAACTTCTTGAAGAGTATAACGATTAATTTCACTTTCTGATGCAAGAGTGATATTAACTCTTTCTTTATTCATATTTTTCTTTATTTAAACTTCATCTTTTTAAGTTCTTTTTTTTTTAATTAAATTATAATTTATTATAGTTTATTTTATTATAAATTGTTTTTTTTTTTGTTATTGAGAAGAATTTTCCTCTTTCATTTTAAAGAAGTTTAAAACTAACAAAGAAACTTGTTGTTTAAAACTAATTTAGTTTTAATTGTTTTTGTTTTCTTAATGAATCACTGAGTGAATATACGTAAATATGCCATATAATTAATATAATATTAGCAATAAACACAATGATTCCAGCAATGAAGATATTAAACATTGAATTTTTTCCTTTAAATTCAAGTTCATATCCATAATAAAGCCAAATACCATAAGATGCGATATATTGTAAAATTATAAATATTGTTAAAAAGATATGATGTAATGCTCCTTCTATTATTTTTGGTACTACAAATGGAAGTAAAACAAACCACCAAATGAAATATTGCATTGTATATACTTTATTAAATGCAACAAAAATACATGTCATAAGATAACAACAGAAAATAATATCTTTTTTACAATATCTAAATCCAATTGCAATTAAACAAAATATTTGTGGAAGGAAAGAAATTAATGATCGTATTGTTGATTTAGGGAAATCAAATGATAATGATAGATAATACCAATAGACTGATAAATTATGTCTATGATCTGTACGTGTTCCATGATATAAATAAGTTTCCCAAAGAAATTCAAATCCATAACGATAATAATAATATCCTGTTAATCCTATTAAAACAAAAGCAGTTCCAAATACTGCAATTAATCGTTCTTTAGTAAAGAATGATTTACTCGGATAAAAATTAGATAAACAAAAGAATAATGGAAGTGAATATAATACTGGATAAATCTTCATATGAATAGATAATCCAAAGAATAATGAACATAACCATATTTTTCTTTTATATAAGAAATAAAATGTTAAAATAACAAATAAACATACTACAGCTTCAGCATTTCCTCTTGTTGAAATAACAATTGACATTGGATTAAATGCCCAAATAGCAGTATATAATAATGACATAATAAATGAATTTGTTTGTCTTAATAAATTAAATTGAATACAAGCAATAATAATATCAAATATACTAAATAATATTTTTCCAAATTGTTCATTTAAAAGAATATCTGGGATTAATATCTCTGCTAATAATGGTGTATATCTATAAGTAGCTCTTCTATAAGGAGATTCTCCATTAACCAAATATCTTGATGCATCATTATATACATCATAATCAATATCAGTATATCTTACATTAAATTTTTGGTCTTGATACATTCCATAGACTATTAATCCCATTCTAATTCCTAATGCACTAAGGAAAAATAAACTAATTCCAAAAGCTTTAAGTAAAAGAATACAATTCCCTTCTTGACCTTTTATTCCCATTTATTTATTATTCTTTTAATTAATTTCTTTTAAGTTCTTTTTTTATAGTTCTTTATAGTAAACATTTAACCTCTTCAATTACACACAAATTCAATCAATTTAAAACTTCTTTCCTGACCTTCTTCTTCCTGTGTATTTACTATCAGGTCGAACTTCCATACCTTTCTCTCTTTGTCTTTCTTTCTTTCTAAAGATCCAAGCTTTACTTTTATATTTTAATTTCGATGGTTTTGTAGCATCTTTATACTTCTTTTTATCTACTTTAATTCCTTCACTTTCATCAGTAACTTCTACTCCTTGAGCTTGTGGTAATGCACCTTTTTGTTGACCACACATTAACACAATATAATATTTCTTTGCTTTTTTACTATTTGGAAAATCTACTACAACTCCACCAGTAAATCCAGCATGTGTTGCAGCATTAGTAATCATTTCTAAATCATTTGGTGTTTCTGGATATAATTGAAAAACTGCTCTTGTTCCTCGTTTAAGACACCCAAAGAGTGCTTCAAATAGTTTTCTTAATCTTGTTATAGGATTATGTGTTTTTTTGTCTGCTTGACAAAGCCATTGTATTGCAGATATTGAAATACATCCATCAAATGATCCTGGTCTAAATGGTAAATAATCTCCCATATCTCCTTGTATAACGCTTGAACCATTTTCTTTTGCAATATTTAACATGTCTCGAGAAATATCCATTCCAGTCCAATAATGTCCATTCTCTTCAATGGTTTCTCCTGAATATCCTGAACCACATCCAAGATCAAGAATATGTAATCCTTTAGTTTCTTCTGGTATTCCTAATAATTCTAATGCTCTTTCTGTCATTTCTGTTTGGATATAAGCCATACGAGTATTTCTAGCATATTTTCCAGCTTCTTCTTCATTATAAAAGAATTCTGGTGGTGCAATATGTTCTGGTCTTGACATTAATTACTAAATCTAATCTTCTTTCTTTTCATAAAAATTTGAAAGGGTTTATTTAAATAATAACAATTATTAAAAAAAAATTATAAAATTTTCTTTTCTAAAACAATAAATAGTTGTTCACTTAAAACATTTTTAATCCACAGTAACTGCTTTTGCTAAATTTCTTGGTTTATCCGGATTTATTCCTTTAGCAATAGATAATTCATATGCTAAAATTTGTAGTGGAACAACAGCAACAAGAGCTGTTAATAAACCAGCATTACAAATTAAAATAATTTCATCAGCAACACATGCTAATTCTTGACGGTCAGTGATAATAATTAAATAAGCACCTCTTGCTTTAATTTCTTCTGCTGCTACTTTCATTAAATTAGCATGTTCATCATCTAAAATAATAAGAATTACTGGAAGTCCTTTTTCAATTAAAGCAAATGGTCCATGTTTTAATGCACCTCCAGAATATCCTTCTGCATGAATATAAGAAATTTCTTTAATCTTTAATGCTCCTTCTTTAGCAACACTTTCAGCAAGTCCTTTTCCAAGAATAAACATTGAAGTTGTATTTAATTCAATAAGTTTATGTGCTATTCTTTGTAAATTTGAACGACACGTTAAAGCCATTCCCATACATGTTGGAATTCTTTGTAAACTTGAAATTACTTGTTCTCTTCCTGATATACATTTTCTATGTTGTGAAAACCATACTGCAATAAGACATAAACAAATTACTTGGGATGAAAAAGATTTTGTAGATGCTACTGAATTTTCTCTTCCAGCATTAACATAAACTCCACACATAGTTGTTCTTGCAATTAATGAACCTACTGCATTTATAACAGAAAAAGTTGGCATATTAATGGATTGTGCTAATTGTAATGCTCTATGAACATCTTTAGTTTCTCCTGATTGTGATACAACAAGCATTCCTCCTTCTTCTGGTAAACAATCAAGTGTTAATTCAGCAGCATCAATAAATTCTACAGTATTAAATGATTTTAATTTACGCATTATAGAACAACCAAACATAGAAGCATAATAACTTGTTCCACAACCAGAAATTATAAGATTTTTTATTGGAAGAAGTTCTTCTGCTTTACTTTCTAATCCTCCTAATTTGACATTCTTTGAATCAATAAATCGTCCTCCATAATTCATTGCTGCAGATGCAGCAATTGGTTGTTCGGTAATTTCTTTAATACACCAATGAGCAAATGGTGCTGGTGAAAGAGCAATATTATCTTCTGGATGAATTTCAACACGAGATAAGTCAATTGGTTTACTTGCATCTATTACAGCTACTTCCATATCTTTTAATGAAATAAATTCTCGAGTATATCTAGCAAATGCAGCTGGTTCACTTGCAATAAATCTACGTTTATCTCCAATCCCAATTAATAAAGGACTTCCATTCTTCATTGCAAATAAACAATTTGGATGTGCAATAGAGACAATAACTACTCCCCAAGTTCCAATCATCTTTTGTTCACATTTTTTTAATGATCCAATTAATGATTCTCCTTGATCCAAATAATATCCAATTAATTGGGCAATAACTTCTGAGTCAGTCTCTGAAATAAATTTAATTCCTTTTTCACATAATTCTGTTTTAATTTCAGCATAGTTTTGGATAACTCCATTGTGAACTAATGCAATTCTATTATGTTGGTCACAATGAGGATGAGCATTAATATTAGTTTTAGAACCATGAGTAGCCCATCGAGTATGAGCAATACCAATTGTATTATTTTGATGTTCACTTAAATGACGTTCAAGAATTTTCAAAGAATCAGATGTACTACCTTCACTAGCATATTTTGTTACAATAAGTTGTTTGTTATTATTAATAGAAGCAATTCCAGCTGAGTCATAACCTCTATTCTGTAGAATCATAAGTCCTTCAAATAGATATTTTGAACAAGGGTCATTACCAACATATCCAACAATACCACAACGCTTTTTAGGTAATTCTTTAGGACGAATATTATATGTTAATGACATAAAGATTGTATATAAGAGAAAGTAAGATCTTCTTATATAAATAAAACAAAGTATTTCTTTAACTTTTTTTCTGACTTTAAAAGATTTTTTCTTTCTACACTTTCTTTTGTTAAAAGATTTAAAAATTCTTTCTTTCGTTTTCGTTTCTTTTGTTTCCTTCCTTATTCTTTCAAACTTCTCAAATATCAAAACTAAGAAATAAATTAGTCTTATTAATGTTGTCCTCCTTGCATCATTGATTCCATTAATGATGCGAATAGATTAGATGATGATTGTGGTTTAGCAAAGTACTTAGAATGAAGTTCATCAACAAAAACTAAAACTTGGTTTTCTTTTAAAATGGTTTCAAAAGATGAAGTTGCTTTTTTAAATGCAATTTCAATATCTTCTTTTTTATCTTTCTTATCAACAACTTTCATTATTAATATAATATAAATAATACTAACTTGAATTGCTTGAGAAGATAAAAGATAATTATATTTGTCTTGTATTAATTGATAAATTTTTCTTGCATTAGTTGGAGTATTTGATAATAAAACTTTAAGGACAGATAATAATGTTAATTGTTCCATAGGGATATTATTGTGTTGTTTTACATAATCAAATAACATAACAATATCATTAATATCATTAATGAATGATTCAAGAGCTTTATTGATATTACCAATATTCATATAACTAATACCTAAATCTTTATTTAATCTTATTTTAACATCATTAAAAGAAGTTTGATTTAATAATTGAATAATAGCTTCTTCTTGTTTAATTTTATCTTCTGAAGCAGGTATTTCAATAATATTATTAAATGGAATAATTGACTTATCGTTAATAAGATTTCTATGTGTTTCTAAATACTTCTCGTAAAACTCAATTAACCCAAAGTATGACGTTAAATCATTTTGTTTTGATAATTGTTCAACTCCATCTTGTATAATAGCAATTCCATGTTCAATAGAACGTCTTGAATATCTATTGAATAAAGACTTATATTGCATTAGTGCTTCATATAATTTTCCTTCAATAATATTTTGATGTAATATGTTGAAGATTTGTTCCAAACCACTCATTTTATCTTAAAAATTAATTTTTTTTCTTTTTTTTTTTTTTTATGTTTTTTTCTTTTATTATAAGTTTATTAGTGTTTTTTTATTAAAATATAAATTATTTATATTTACTTTTTTTAATAAAAATAAAGAAATATGAAAGAAAGAATATTTCTTTTTTTTTTTAAATTCACTATTATGTTATTAGAATGTCAGTCAATGAAATAGTAGTATGTATCATTTACTACGTCTGAAAAAACAGTTAATTATTTCTGTTATATTTTATCATTATTGATGATAAAAATAGTTAATTTATCTTTCATCTTTAAAAAACCCTGGAACTAATAAAAAGAAAAACAAAATAAATGAAGAATATTGGTATACTTCTTCTGTTTATATCTGTTGTTTTATCAACAACAAATGAAATAGCTAATGTAGACATTGATATTACAACAGCATATCCAGGAATTAAAATGGATATAACAGTAACTTCAGAACAACCACTTCATTCGTATGCTTTTTATCTTCCTAAGTCATATGAAATTTCAAGTTTAGTATTCTTAAATAAAGAAACAGAGAAAGAACTAACATTTACAACACATAATGAAACAGAATATACTCAATTTATTGTTGAATTTGAAGATACACCTAAAATCTCTCTTACAATGGCTTATATACAAATTAATAATTATCTTCCTGTTCCAAAATTTATTAGTCAATTTGATTCACAAGAATTCGATTATACTCTTCTTCTTTGTCCATTAACTCAATCAAAAACTAAATCATGTCAAGTTCTTCTTCATCATTATGACAAATTAAAAGTTATTTCTGACATAAAACATAGTACTATTAAAAATACTACGGCTTTTGGTCCTTTTGATGATTTATCTCCAATGGAAGTAATTGAAACAACTGTACATTCAAATTCATTACCGCATATCAAAGTGAATAAAATGATACATAGCGTTGACTTACCAACAATATCTTCTTTTGTTAAAGTTGAAGATTGGTTTGAAGATTTCACAAATGAAGGTGCTCAATTATCTAGTGGATTTTCTAGGTTTGACTTCCAACAAAATATTGGTAATTACCCAAATGCAATTGGGTTCTTTGAAATTAATTTAAATACTCGTGCATCATCTATTCAATATAAAGATACTTCTGGAAATATCTCTACTTCTTCTTTACTTCTAAATGATGATAATTTAGTTTTAATAGCACTTCCTAGATATCCTTTATTAACTGGTTGGAAAACAGAATTTATGATTGGTTATAGTCTTCCAAATAAAGTTGTTATTTCTAAAGGTAAAGCAATTATTACTTTACCATCTATTAAAACTGCTATGGCTAAAGAAGTTATTGTTCGTGTGTATCTTCCAGATAATGCCAAATATCTGAAAGTAGAAGGAAAAAATATTGAGAATATTGAAGTGAAAGATTGTGATGCCTTTTTATCTTTTGCTGGACGTAAAGAAGTTTTAATTACAATGAAGAATATTAATATAATGGACGAAGTACAATTAACATTATATTATGAAGAATCAGTAAGTGGATCAATAAACACATTTATTGTCTTTGGTTGTTATGTCCTTCTCTTCTTCTTAGGATTCTTCCTGTTCATTAAGTACTCTGCTTGAACAATCTTAAATATCCATTTTAATAACTATACATTTTAGTTTTTTTTATTATCATTTTATTGTAACTAAAAAGTGAATAATTCTGAAATGATCTTGAAAATGAAATTTTAGGGTTACTTTTAATGCATTCTTTTCATGTCTGGAAAGGCTAATAAGCAAAAGCAAGCAAAACAAACCAACCCACTTATCGTTGCCAACAAGAAGGTATTTGGAAAAGGTAATGTAGCTCATCCACGTGATTTGACTAGATATGTTAAATATCCATTATATGTCAGAATTCAAAAGGAAAAGAGATTATTAATGAAAAGATTAAAGACCCCACCAGCAGTCAATATCTTTGCCAATCATACTCTTGACAAAACTAATGCTACTCAATTATTCAAGATTCTTGATCATATTAAACCAGAAGAAAGAGCTGCTAAATTACAAAGAATTAGAGCTGCTGCTAAAGAATTAGCTGAAAAAACACAAAAAGGAGAAAAGGCTACTGCTTCAAAGAAAACTGAAAAACCAGCTACTCTAAGTTATGGTATTAATAATGTTGTTAGATTAATCGAAAGAAAACAAGCTAAATTAGTTGTTATTGCTCATGATGTTGAACCATTAGAAATGGTTGTTTATCTTCCATACCTTTGCAAGAAATTACAAGTTCCATACTGCATTGTTAAGGGAAAGGCTAGACTTGGACAATTAATTCACAGATCAACCGCTGCAGTTGTTGCTGTTACTGAAATTAAGAAAGAAGATAAAGCAGCATTTGAATCACTTGTTCAAAATGTCAAATCTATCTACTTCGAGAATGCTCATATGTACAGAGAATTCGGTGGTAGAATTAATGGATTTAAACACAATGAAAAACAAAAGAAGATTCAAAGTAAACTTAATAAAGATCTTGCTGATAAAGCTAAACAACAAGCTGCTTTAACTGTTACCACTGCTGTAGAAGAAAAAGCTGCTCCAGTTGCTGAAGAAAAGAAGGCTGACAAGACTGCTTAAATTCAATGGGTTGTTATGGAAATTTTTAATGGTTTTTTTACATAAAAAAAAATAATAAAATAAAAGTTATTTAATTATTATTTATTTAAATTTTAACTTCATTTTCTACTACTACATCACATAAATTATAAACTACAAATACTTCATTTGTTCTTGTTTCTTTTAAGGAAACTTGAGGTAAAGAAAAGACACCAGCTTTATTTGCCATAAACTCAATTGATACAGAAATTAAAGTAGGTTTATTAAGTATACCAATATCTAAAGTAGGATGAAGACAATCAATTTCATCTGGACGATCAATTTGATTAATAATAAAAAGTAGATGACGAAGTTTATAAGAATTATAATGAATGTCAAATTGAATTTTAAAAGAAGTATTTGCATAGATATGTTTAGGAATATTATATTTGATTGAAATAAAATGAAATTTAATAATGTCAATACTATACGATAATTCTTGATAAATACTTCCAATCATTAATTTTGTTTTATAAGATAATTCAATAGTAAGATTTTCTTTATTTATTTTTTGAGTTTCTTTATCAGTATTTGTTTCATTATTAACTTCTTCTTGAAGAAAACTATCTTCTATTGACATGCTTTGTCTCATTAGATTTATTGGTTGAAGAGTATCAAGTTCTATTTTTCTACTAAGTCCTTTTATTAATTTACGTTTAAGTTTACTATCTTTTGAAGGTTGAGGTGTTGGTTTATCAGGAACTTTCATATTTAATAATGAACTTGATGGTGAAAGCATTTTTGGAGGTATAGCTTTAATAGATTTTATTCCTTCTTCAACTTTTTCTTCAATAAATTCTTTTTTTAAATGAATAGGAAATGCAATTGTAAAGCTTTCATACGGATTTAAAATGATTGGAAATTTTGGTATTTCTCCTCTTTGTATTTTAGAATAAATATTAAATGATTTAACTTTAACTGGAATAATTAAATTGTTTGTTAATGTAATACAAACAACATTATTAATTATTTTTCTTTGTATTGTTATTGGTTGGTATATTTTAATTGGAAGAGTGTTGATAAGAAATTCATTCTTTTCAAAAGACTGTGTAAAATATGTGTCTTGATATCTTTTATAAAAGTCTATATTCATTAGTGGCCAAAATGTACTTCTTAAATAAACTGGTTTATTAAAATATTCTGATTCTACAGATACTTTAAAAACTAATAAATGAATAGAACAATATTTATCTACAACAATAACTCTCCAATTATTTCCTTTCATTATATCATTCCATTTACCTATTGTATCATAATTGGTTGTTATATTTTCTTCTTTATTTAAAATAATAGAATCTATTTTATTTACTTCTTCTGGATTAAGATATATCCCTGTTGATATATTCGTTTGTGTAACAATAACAATTTTTGGCTTAGTCTCAGAAAACTTTATAACTCCAATTTCTCCTTCTTCAAATAAAATTTGTCTATCATGATATATCACTATACTAACAATAATCGTTTCTCCTTGGTATAATTCTTTTCTGCTCTCTATTGGACTTGTAGGGTCTTTCATTAATAATTCAATGTCTGTTATTTTGGTTGGAATGACAATTCTACTTTGCATTATTGTTTTTTATTTTTTTTTTAAGTTCTTTTCTTTTATTTTACTTCTAAGTGTACAAATGTTGTATATAACAATTATTTATTTGATAGTAATGTATTATTTATATCTTAGATTTTTCTTTCTTATATTGAAGAAAAACTGTGAAAGTAATAAATGAAATAATATATTCTTTTATATTTGAAACCAATTCAATATTTAATTATGTGTTTCTTTCTATTAATTAGTACTATTAAATATTATAATTATACATATGTTGTATTTAGAATTACTTAACTCAATACTTCATAAAAATTTTTCATTTTTTATATTAATTTATTCTTAACTCATTAATATAATTAATGAAACTCTAATTATTCATAATGTTTATCATATTTTAAGACATTAATATATTATGGAATAATTATTATTATATTACAATCATTATAATATTTAAATATAGTAAATAAATATTCATCTTTTGTTAAATTCAAATTTACCTTTATCATTAATTTTTATTTTATAAAACAAAATTTCGTTTTTATAATTTTATTCTTAGTTACTTTCTTTTTTTCTCATCATCTTTTTAATTTTAATTTTTTCTTTTTCATTCAGCTAATTTTCAATACCCAACTAACTGTTTTGTAAAAGATTTATTAGTTGAATATACTGGGAATGTAAGAGAATATATTAAAAAATCAGTTTATAGTGGTAGAAATATGTTAGGTGAAAATAAAAAACATATGGTTAATAAAGAAATAGTAGACTTTGATGCTTGCAGTCTTTATCCATCAGCAGTTGCAAGACTATTTCTTCCTTCTGGAGCACCCCGGGTTATGAAGAAACCAATACAGTGGTATCTGGAACATCTAATGGAGGAACAACAATATGAAACTACACAAGAACGATTAATCTCATATTTTATTGTGACTATAGAGATAACAAAAGTAAATAAAATTAGAAAGATGCCAATTATTATTAAGAAGGTGAATGGAATAAATCAATATGTAAATGAACCAACAATCATGACAGTAGACTCAATTTACTTAGAGGATCTACTTAAATATCAAGAAATAGAATTTAATGTTAAAGAAGGAATTTATTGAAATAGGGAAAGGGTAGTTTATTCAAAGAAAAGATTAAGGAAATTTATGATATAAGAAAGCAAAAGAAAGCAGAACATGATCCGAGTGAAGTAATATTTAAATTAATAATGAACTCCTGTTATGGCAAAACTATTCAGAATCCAATCATGGAAGAAAATAAACTATTTAGGACAAAAAGAAAAATGCTTTCTTATTGGAAAAGAAATTTAGAAGATATTATAACAGGAGAGCAATTATATGACTCTGATATTTGGATATTAAATGTTAAGAAACAAATAGATGATTTTTATATCCCCAACATTATTGGTGTTCTTATTCTCTCTATGTCCAAGAGAATAATGAATGAATTAATTTATTTATGTGAAGATTTGGACATTGATGTTTATTATCAGAACACTGATAGTATTCATATAAAGAAAAGGATCTACCAAGACTTGAGAAGGAGTTTAAAGAAAAGTATGGTAGAGACTTAGTTGGTTCTGAACTAGGTCAGTTCTACTCAGACTTCCCCCCTGTTAAAGGAAAACCATCCTGGTCAATTAAGTCTATCTTTCTAGGTAAGAAGTCTTACCTTGATGTTCTCACTAATGAGGATGGTGATATAGATTATTTAATAAGAATGAAAGGAATTCCTAAGAGTGCCATCATTGGTACAGCAAATGAAAAATTTGAAGGGGATGTAGTTGCTCTGTATGAGTATCTTTATATGGGTAAACCACTCACCATTGACTTAGCTAAGTATGGAGCCCATTTTGAAATAGAGCGTGATTTTAAAGTAAAAAGTCTGAGTGAATTTAAAAGAACAATTAAATTTTTAAAAAATGAAGCTCTCAATTAAGTCTAATTGATTCTTTTTCTTATTATTGTGTTAGTTTTTCTTGTTCATAAGGTGATAGTGCTGATAAATTCTTTTTATTTAAAAGAACATCATTATAAAGTGTTTTTCCATAATCTTTAATAACATCTTTTATTTTCTTTCCTTCACTAATTTCTGTGAGTGCTTTTCCATTTGTTTCATACCATTTTGGTATTCTTTCTAATAATTTTCCTATTGTTTCACCACCTGGAAGAAATGATGCTATTCCTTTTGAAATAGGGATTAATTTAGTTGTTATATTACCTGTTGTTTTATATAACTTCCCTCCTATTCCTGCTATTTTCTTTCCTGCTGTCTTAATTATATTCTTTAACTTTTTAATAAAACCAAATTTCATAACAATTAATTAAGAATAAAGAGTTAATTATTTATAGATAATCTTCAATATCATAATCTTCATAATCTTCTTCATTATTCATTTCACTTTCATTACCATTGAGTCTTTTAGCAAATAAAGCAGATTTAGGTGATACTCCTGTTCTTCCTTTAGGTTTTAATGAAATATGTTCAGGTACTTGATTAATAATTTTACTTGCTGTTTTAGTAATATCATTTGGTATTTCACTTTTAACTTGATTTAAATATTTTTTAGTTGCTCCAACAACATTTTCACCTGATGCTATTCTATTTAATACTTCACTTGTAGGTTCTGCTATTTTACTAATTACTTCTGTACCTTTTTTAATTATTTCACCACCTTGAATAAAATCTGATGCTATAGAAATAAGTGGTTTTGCTTTTTCAATTACATTCCCTCCTAACTTAGCTCCAATTGCTAATGTAGCAGCTAATTTCTTTAATCCTTCTTTAAATCTCTTCCAATTCCCAAACTTCATGAATGAAATAAAAGATTGAACTAATAAATCAAAATAAACAAGATGAATTATAATGTTATTAAAGCATTGGATCAAGAAGAAACAGGTGATCTTATCAAATACTTCAATTATTCAGATGGAATACTTGAAGCTAATTCAGGTGTTCATGATAATAAATGTTTATCAATAGATTCATCTGATCCACCATGTCCTGTACAAAAAGGAATGTATACTAAAGTAAAATTGACAGATGAATTAATTCAAATTACAAATATAGATAAATCAGGCAACGAAAAAAAGCAAATAATTGAAAAAGAAGAGAATGAATGATATAAAAGAATAAAAAGAAAGTAAGAAGTTTGATATGATGAAGAAAGAATAAAAGTAGAAAGGAGAGAAGATAAAAAGAAAGAAGATAAAGAGTAATAAAACAAAAGAGATGATAAAAGAAGAAAAGAAAGAAAAAAATAAAGGATGCAAATTTTATTTCAACAAATAAAAAAAAGCGCAAAGATTAATGATGCAAAATTTAATGATGCAAAATATTTAGCAACATATTTTATTGATGCAAAATATTTTGAAATAAAAATAATTCATCATTTGATATTATTATTATATTTGATAATAAATTATATTATATATTAAATACATCATATTTCTTTATTATTTATCTTTTATTTCTTTTTATTATTTCATATATTAAATTATTATTCATTCATTTATTATTTATATTTCATTTATTAAATAAAATGAAAATGAAATTGTAAAATATCAATTAAATATTCATGAATAATAATTTATTAATATTTAATAATTGAAATAACAAATAATAAAGTAACATTATTAATATATTCAATATATTCTTTATTTGATTTGTTCAATATTAGATTATTCTATTTCATTATCATTTCATTGTCTTCATTATTTATTTCATTTATTATTTCATATTCATTTATTATTTTTTAAAATCAAATAAACAATAATATTGATATTCATTCATCATATTCATTTAATATAATAAATATACACAACATTTCAGAATAAATAATTAATAATTAAGAATGAAAATGTTGATTTATTCAATATTTTGTTCAACACAAATTCAATAAAACATATATTTTGATAATACACAAATGAAATAATAATGAAATATACAATACTCAAGAATTAATAAAAAAGAAATAAAAAGAATAAATGAATATAAAATTGATAAATAATAGAAGAAAGAAATATAAACAACACCAAAAAACAAATAATATAAAAAGAATATAAATATATAAAAGAATAAAAAGAAAGTAGAAGAAGAATATAAAAATAATAAATCACAAAGATGTAATAAAAGAAGAAATAAATAAATGGTGTGTTTTTTATTTTAAAAATTAGAAATATTCAATAAAAAGTGTCTAATTTAATTGTGTAAAATGATTAACAATATTTTATTAATGAAAAATATTTTACTCTTTTTTTATGTTTATTATTTATATGTATAATTTAAACATGATGTTTATTATATAATCAATCATATGTGTTATGTTATTATTATAACATATAACATGTAATAAAATATAAATGAAAATGATATGAATATATAACATAGATAGAATATAAAACAAAAGAATAATAAGAATAAATGATAAATAAAACGAGAAATGATAGTCAATGATATAATAATAAAATCAAAGTATAAAAGATAAAATTAATATTAATATAAAACAAAAGAGAATAAATATAAAATGAAAATAGATATAAATGATAATAATATAAAAATGATAAAGATGAATATTCAAATAATAAAATACATTTAAATATAAAAGAATAACAATAAGAAAATCTAAAGAATATAAACATAAAAAACATAAAATAATAATAATATAATAATATATAGATAATAAGAATAACACAATGATATAAATAATATAAACAGAGAAATAAATATAAAAATAAATATATAAAAATACGATAGATAAATAACATATAAAGAAAAGAATAAAAATAAATATGAATAATCAAATCATCTATTTCATTAATATTTCATACAAAATGAATACAATTGATTATAAAATATAAACATAAATATATACATATTCTGTATTTATCATACTTTTTATTTTTTTTATTTTATGAGCAAAATATAAGAAAGTGGAATATTCTATTGATGCAAATTATTTTGCATCTTTTTTCTTTTTTGTAAATTATTTAGATGCATTTTTTCTTTGCTAATTTTCG